ATTCGATTAGTCAGCAAAACAAGCGAGCAATCATCAATACGAATTCCGCCTATCAGAGCCTTCGAATCCTCCGAGATAAGCTGGCACCGACAAATGAAGCAAGAAAACGCGATGTGATTGGTCGATACCACCAGCTTAGGGCTCAGGGCTCCTCTGTTCGAAGCCCTAATCTAGAGTCCTATATTTCTCAGTGGGAAAACCTTTATTCCGAAGCCCAAGAACTCGACATAAGCGAGGTCAATCCACCAATCAGAGCCCTCTATGACTTCCTAGAGGCGATCCATACTGTTCAGCCCTATTTTTCAACCCTCTGGCACGACAAATTGATCGAAAAATCCGAGCGGAACGAGCCAATCCCGACGTTCTACGAGGTGACTAAGCGGTTCAGGGACCATATCAAACTAAGCCCAAAAAGGAATAGTCACATGGCAAACATTGCAAACGCGACATTCATGGGCCAATCAGACAACCCGAATGCTAGGCCTAGAATCCCTAGAAATAGGCCTAGAAAATGTCCCTGCCAATCAGAGCCAAATGACGGTTTCCATGACTTCAGCGAATGCCTCTATACCAACCAATCAAAACGCCCTATTGGATGGTCACCTGATCCTGAGGCACAAAAACGATTTGAACGGGCCAATCAGAACCCTGGATTCAAAAGGGCCTATGAAAATGCGCTGCAGAAGTTCAAAACCAGTCAAACGACCAATTTAACCGTCACTATGGCAACTGTCGCCCTAGCAACCGCTCAAACAACCGATTCTAGATCTGATTGGGCCTTCGACACCGCTTCAAACACCCATGTTTGCAATGATTTGTCAGCCTTCAAGGACTATACTCCTAGGGAATCGAAAGTCCTAATAGGCGACACACATGCAGAGATCCTAGGTTTTGGAACAGTCCTGATGAAGCCGTCAAACTGCTATGGAAAGCAGACTACCTTTGAACTGAAGGACTGTGCCTATGTGCCTAAATTCCATATAAATATTCTCTCTGCAATGAAGGCCAAAAAGGCGGGAATATTCTATAATTCTAGAGTTCCTTGCCTAGAGGGCCTAGATGGGTCGAAAGTCTGCCAGATATATGAAACTGGGGGAATCTCCCTAGTTAGATGGGGCGAATACTCACTTTCCGCTCACTTTACTATGGGAAACCCATATAAAAGTGAGAGTTTTGGTCAGAATGACCTACCGGACCGATTTTCAACTCTAGAGCTGGAAGACTCTAGAAAACAGACCAATCAGACCAGTCAGACCTATCAGATTCAGCGGTCTGATCAGCCAATCATCTCAAAGGGGTCAATAGAACTATGGCATCAGCGATTAGGGCATCCAGGCATTAAAGCCCTAAAACATCTTGAACAGGCAACTAGTGGGGCAGAATTGACCAACCAGAGCGAGGAACTAGGACCCTGCGAGACCTGCCTAGTTTCCAAGTCAAAACGCCAGATTTCTCGACGTCCTATTGGTCGAGGCGATCAGCCATTCGAGACAATCCACTGGGACCTGATTCATATGAAGCGGGGCATGCGAAATATGAATTATATTAGTCATATTTATGATCCAATGACGCATTTCCACATGGCCCAGACCCTGCAGACCAAAGAACAGGTTTCTAGGTCCCTGAATTCAATGATTCTATTGGTCAAGAACCAGTATAGAGTCTCGCCAAAGCGGGTCCATTCAGACAATGACCTGAATTTAAGCGAGTTCATCGACCAATCAGAAGGCCTGATTTTCAATACTTCACCGCCTGACCAACCAGAACAAAACCCATTTTCTGAACGCTCTGGAGGACTGATTATCATGAAATCTCGCCTCATATTGGTCGACTCCGGGATCCCCATGTTTCTATGGCCAGAAGTGGTTAGCGCGGCGACCCACATCCTGAACCGAACACCAATCAGAGCTCTAGATTGGAAGACCCCCTATGAAGCTCTATATACTGCCTTACCCGAGAAACCCGGCTATATGACGTCAAAACCCGATATCTCAAACTTGAAACGTTTCGGTTGTAGGGCCTACACGCGGATTATCAATATTCCGAGGCTGAGTAAGCTTCAACCGCGGGCCCTGATTGGATATCTAGTCGGGTATAGGGCTTCAAATATCTGGAGGGTCTGGATTCCATCTAGAAATAAGGTCATTTCTGCAAGAGATTGTGTGTTTGATGAATCTAGGGTCTATAAAGACGATCCTACTGGTCAATTAGGCGAACTTGACCCTGACCTAGGGCTAGAAGTCAAAGCCCTAACTGACTCAGAAATTAATGACTTAATTAATTCAATTGAAGCTGAGTCAGATGAGTCAGAAAATGCAGAAATGTCTCTAGATCTAGATGATTCTAGAACCCTAGAAGACTCTGCAGATGTTCTGGAACCTCTAGAAAATCAAGAAAAAGAAGAAAATGAGGAATATCTAGAGGATTCTATTGGTCAGGACGACATAGTTCTAGGTGATTTACCTGATTCACCGCCTCAATCACCTGTTCCGCCTGCCCCTGATGTCGTCATCGATAATAGTCAGTTCAAATTCGACGATTATGACGACATTATGAAGCCGCTAGGCCTAAAAAGGCAACGATCGCCATCACCGGACCCCGAACCATCGAAAATTCCGAGAAATTATGCAATTCTTCAGGCATTTTCGACTGATTTAGGTCATAAAAAACTGCATAAAAATGACCTACCTCCTCCACCTGCCAACTGGCGAGAAGCGGTCAATAGTCCATTTCGAGATGACTGGATTCGAGCTGCAGAGGTAGAATACCAGCAGCTTACTAATATGGACACATGGACTCCTGTTTCGATCGATTCTATTGGTCCAGACCAACGAGCTCTACCGCTGAAGTGGGTCTTTACCTACAAGTTCGACCAATCAGGCTTCCTATCGAAATTCAAAGCAAGGATTTGCGTTAGAGGGGACCTTCAGCCAATCAGTGACCTCGATACTAGGGCTATAACCCTAGGTTCTAGAACCCTGCGGGTTGTTCTTGCCCTAGTAGCTGCTTTTGACCTAGAAGCGGTCCAATTAGATGCGGTGAACGCTTTCCTGAATAGTCAGCTTGATGAAACAGTCTATGTTTCACCGCCTCCAGGGCTAGGCCCTAAAAATAGGGTTTTTAAATTGAAAAAGGCCCTATATGGACTGCGTAGGGCGCCGTTTCTATGGCAACGAGAAATAGGCGAAACCCTAAAACGACTAGGTCTAGACCCTATTCCAGAGGATCCCTGTGTTTATGTCAATGAATTCATGATCTTAGTCATCTATGTAGATGACATCATCATTATTTTTAGAAAAGAAAACAGGGAAAGGGTCGAAAAAGTGAAACAAGCCCTCTGTTCGACCTATCAGATCAAGGATCTAGGCGAAATGACGCAATTTCTGAATATGAAAATTCATCGAAAAAAGTCGAAAAGGAAGCTCTGGATCTCGCAGAAGGACTATATCGAAAAGATCGCTCACCGCTTTCACCTGACCAATCGGAAGCCTCCAAAAACACCGCTCCCGGCAGAAAGTCTTCTGAAGGGTATATTTTTACCCTATATAGCGGACCAGTTGATTGGTCAGCTAGAAAACAGAAGACTATAACACTTTCCACCACTGAAGCTGAATTCCTCGCGTTATCTACCGCTAGTAAGCAGTTTTTATGGTGGAAACGGTTTTTCTCGGCTATAGGGTTCAACCCTAGTCAGAAACTTGCAATTGAATGCGATAATAGGCAGACAGTTGACCTGCTTATTAAGCAGGACTCTGCTTATAAATCGAAACTAAAACATGTGGACATCCACCGCCATTGGCTGCGCCAGGAAGTTCAGAATGGATCTATTCAGATTCAATGGGTTCCGACCAATCAGATGATTGCTGACGGTCTGACTAAGCGTTTGACCTATCAGAAACATCAGGAATTCATGAAACATCTGAATATGGAAGATATTTCCGAATTGTCACCTTGACTTCACTTTTCTATGGGATTCCTACCTAAAAGTGAGGTTTTGATCAAACTGTCTGAAAAGTCTGCAGGTTCTACTATTTTCAATATTAGAACCTGGGGGGGTGTGTCAGACAGTAGAGGTGCCTGCCTCAGGCAGCCATTTAGTCAGCAGAATCAGGCATCTGTTTCAGGCAGCCATTATTGTCTAGGCAACCACCAGATTGATTCTATTGATTTCTATTGTTTTGATTTGCATTGTTCTGATCTATTCTTTCTGATTCTATTGCGTCATCTGCTTGCGTTCCTACGTCATTCCTGATTTTGATTGCCTGCTTCTAGAAGACTCTAGGCCTTAGGACCATACTATAAATAGGGCCTTCTGACCCATGGTTCAGGGCTAGAGTCAACCAGAGTTGTTTACTAGATTCAATTAGTCATCTAGTTCAATTGTCAATTTCCTCAACTCTCATTGGTTCATATTATCTAGTCAGGTCAATAGGGACTTCCCAATTAGGAAACCCTAGAGGGCCTAAGGCATCTGAGGTGCCTAAGGCTCCTAGAGTTCGATAATAAGAAAGTCTTTTACTATAAAATAGAGAATTAAAAATTAGTTACAACAAGATTTCTAATAGACAAAAATATTAGTTTAATTAATAGTATCTTATTAATAGTAAATAAAGTATAAATTTATTTAAAATATAACTTACTTTTTATTAGAGTGGGTTAACCTCACCGTTGTACCTCACCATAACCTGACCATAACCGGCCAGGTTAGGTTAAGGTATAAAGAACCCAATAACCGGACCGGTACAATCAGGTTAAAGGTAAAGGTTCTACCTCACCGGATTAACCGGCCGGTGAGGTAGGGGAGGTTAATCCGGTGAGGGTACTAACCGCAGGTTAAACGGTAATTAATACATCTTGATTACCTTCATGGTTTACTGTATTTTTTTATTTCGGTATTAATACTCTTGTGATCCCGTGATGTAATTTACTACTTAGAATAAACTGATCGAAATATTCTGCTTCGAGGACACGTTAAAAAAAAAATATCTATTATCTACTCTCTATTCTTTATACTGTCCCGGGCGTCGTTCATGATGTCGAAGGGATCGTGTCTCTTTAACAGTCCGGGTAGTATGCGGAGGTTCTGGCAACAATCCATCCTCCGGATCCTCATCCATATCATCCATATCCTCATTGTCACTAATATACAAAGGCGCTTCGGTTGTATCATCGTCTTCTTCCTTGTGTACAAAGACAATGGAGTCGGGGTCAACCTCATCAAGAATCTGCTGATATTCCTCATTGATGGTAAAGCGATCGGTACACATCTGCAGCATAATCGCCTCAATAGTATCGGGATATAACCGACTCCGGCGATAGTGACAGATATCTCGGGAGCTGTTGAAGAGGCGTTCAACACTGACACCGTTGGTTGCGACCGTAAGGAAGTCTCTTGCCATAGAGTAGAGGATCGGGAACTGGTTGCGACGAGATTTCCAGTAGGCAATAATATCAGTTTGACCAGTAGTGCCTTATCGACAGTAAGCAGAGTGTAGGTCTATTCAAAGTACGACTTACCTTCTATATCAAGATAGGCCTTAAGCTCCTCAAAGGTCTCTGATGAAGTGGCAAGTCTTCGTCGTTTCGAGAGATGGTAAAATGCCTTGTTCAGTCCAGATAATGGGTCTGAAACAGTCGATGGCGTGTTGACACTTGGATTCTGACTGCGGTAGAAGTGGAACACCTTCTCAAAAACAGTGCGATATTTTTGATACCAATCAGTGTCATCGTCCAGCCACGTAGCTGTTTTGAACTTCTCAAGCTTGGAGGTAGGATCAAGAATCGTTGCAATAGCATAGATATAACCCTCTGCTTGGTATGTTCGCCGATAGTATTTCCGGAGTTTCTTGTGGGCTTCTTCTAAGCCTTCAAGAATCTGTTGTTTCCACGAGGCTCGTTTGTTCCGAAGACGATTGATGGCAAGATCCAGATGGTCGAACAGATCGTTGTAGATATCATATACCCTATGGACGGTAGGGCCGGTGTTCTCCGAGAGGCAGGACGTGAAGATGTAAAACGGATATAGAAGCTCCAGAAGATATTCCAACTGTTTCCATTCTACCGGTGTAGGCCGCAGGTAGTCAAGCTTCTGACTATCCCAGTGCTGGATAAAGCTCTCGATTGGTTGGCGGAGCTTCAGTGCGCGTCGAATCATCAGGTAGGAAGAGTTCCAGCGGGTTTTGCAGTCGAGAAGAAGATAGTATACAGATCCAGATTCCAGACGCTGAGTAAGTTGAAATCTTTCACGACGTTGAGGGCTAGCGTTCACGAATTTAGTGATTTTTCGAATCTAGGGACATAATAGATATTAGTAAATGCTGGACACTTGTTTGAGCTATCTAGGAGGAGGTTGAGGAAAGGCTTCCTCAGCATCCCCCTAGATAGCTAGATCTAAGCAACCTTTTCGGTCATGACCGAAAGGAAGCTGAGGAAGCCTTCCTCAGCATCCTCCTAGGTAGCTAGATCTAAGCAACCTTCTCGGTTATGACCGAAAGGAAGCTGAGGAAGCCTTCCTCAGCATCCTCCTAGGTAGCTAGATCTGAGCAACCTTCTCGGTTATGACCGAAATCTCGGCCAGCTGGCGTACATACCTTTTCAATGGCTCGTGAAATACTACCAGACGCTTTGAGCGTTTCATCGCTGTTCTCCCATATGTAGGAGACAGTGTCATTCTCCGCTGCGATCCGCAATTTATTCATAAAGGAGGTTAACACAGAGTTGGATAACATGAGCAAGACATGGGATGTGATGCTGATTCCGAAGGATTTTGGAAAGCTCCGGGTCGGCGATAGTATCCTGAATCTGGATATTCGTATCAAGTTCATCGCGAAGTTGCTCTGTAAGGGAGGAGAACATAGTACTGTTGTTGCTCGCGTTGTCGGTTGTCACCCCTAGTAGACGATGGCATAGATTATGCTTATGAAGAACCGACAGAACAATGGCAGCAAGGGTTTCACCTGTATGCGAACCGGATACCGGTCGGAAGCCCAGAATAATCTCATGATAATCAAGATCGTCCGTCAAGAAATAGCCAGTAAGTGCAAGAAATGCTTTCTGATCCGGGCTTGTCCAACAGTCAAGTGCAATTGACATTCTGCCGGTCGCCGGGAACCGTGAGAGTAGCTGTGTGTGGATTTCATCCGATAACTCGATTAATCGTTCCTGGATTTGCTTTCGATTCGGAATGTGCGGTCTGCGAGATGATCCGGCAGCGGCGAGATTGATCATTCGTTTAAATTGGACATGCTCGACAGTTCGAAAAGGTAGACGGCAGGCAACGATAAATCGCAGGACTTGGTCAAGGAATTCTTGTTCGGTGTAGATGGTTGTCGGGCCCTAAGAAATCGAAGCTCTTAGTATAAGATAAATAGAAGAAGGACAGACACCCTACCGGTTTTTCACTTAGCATCTGAGCTACTGTTCGTTTGGAAGGCACCGAAGACGACTTCTTAGGGCAGCCTTTTCGGACATGATAGGCCATTGAACTAGTCCCAGTGTGCTCTGTTGACGGATGTTGGAGCAGATGAGAACATGAGACACAAAAGACATAGGGGGTCCCATCCGGGAATTGGGCGCCTTCGTGGAATTTGTCCCATACAGATGAGTGTCTTTTAGGATTGAATCGAACTAATGGCTTTTTGGCTTCTCTCCGTTTCTCGGCCCAGGTAGTAGTATTCCACCATTCTTTAAAGATATGAATCTTTTCTTGCTCGGTCGGATACTGAATAATTTTGCGGCCTTTGGAGAGACGCAGAGAATCAAGCTCAGGGGGTGGAGAGAAAATAGAACAGGTATTAACCTCTGTCTGATTATCGCCATCAGTAAAGACTTGGGAGATAGAGGAGGATGGTGCAATAGTATCTTGTGAACATAGATCGAGGGGGTAGGATTGGTGTGCCATAATGAATAGCAAGGCTTCATTAATGGCATGGACACTGGAAGATAGAAAAGAGAAATTTTTAGAAGACATGATGTTGGTGGGTTGACAAAGAGAACGCGTCGTGTTACTACCAAAATATGATAGATCTAATAAAGGTTAGTGGTGGTTGGGATAGAACCCGTGATAATCTGGCTACCATCAGTGTCTATTACTATAAGAACACTAGAAATAAGGAATATTTTATAAGAAATATAGCATTTCTGTTGATAATAAAGATGTAGATAAGGATACTATTGCTCTAAATGATTAATATAATGGCTACAATAGAGATAATCTCCAAAATCTACTATTAATGCTGGTAATGGGAAACAAGGTATGTATTAATATATATTTCCATGCCGTATCTCTGGGTAACACCAACTTTTATAGAAAAATGAGAATTCTGCCAGCCACACTAGAGTCTAGGTATTTTTATAAAGATAATTTGAATAAGAGATATAGTTATTTATTTTTAATATTTTTTTAAAAATTAAATAACGCTTCTATTATAGATTTTTAGAAGGTTGGTTAGAAACGGTGAGGTTAATGCGGTTAACCTGACCGGAACCTTAACCGGACTAGGCCTAATTAGGCAAGGCATATTGCTTTTAGCGCCAAGAACGGTTAATCAGGTTAACCTAACCTCTTTTTTTTATACCGCGGTCAGGTAAAAATAAGGTACTTAACCTCACCGTTAACCTGCGGTCAGGTTATGCTGGAGGTCCTTAACCTCCCCTCACCTGGCCATTGCCCACTCTACTTTTTATATTAAGATAAATCTTAAACTTCTTAAAAATCTCTAATAAAATAATAAATTTTTATTATTTTAAAAGATAATAAAATATTTTATTTAGTCTAGATAATAGATTTAAAATAGTTAATAGTATATTAATATTTAGATTCTAACTATAGTAAAAATATAATACCTTCTTAAAAATAATACAATATTTTTAATACTAATTAGTATTATTATTAAACTATATAGCTATTTTAAACTTCTTAAATTTAGAGATAGAATTAAAAATTATTATAATAGCGTAAATATAATTCTTTATTTAGTATATTTACTAATAATATTTCCGAAGTTTTTTAGAGACTTTATCTAAGTCTTTAAGAATCTATTATTTTTATAAAATTTATTTATTCCGAAAATAATTAATAGTAAAATCTAGATAATTAAATAAATTATTATAAATATTATATATTCTATAAATAATAAAGCCGGTATTCTCCGAAAAATAAAATATAAAAATATAAAATAAATATAGAAGCTCTAGAAAATATTTTAACTATTTTTATTTTACTAGTATTAACTATAGATAGTTAAGCTTTTAACTATTCTAGTACTAGATAAAATTCTTAATTAATTAGCGGAGCTTTAGTGCGCGTTAAATTATTAAATAAAAAAGTTTTAACAGATTTTATAGTTAAAAAATAGATAATATATAGATCTAGATTTTAAATACTAAATAAATTAAAATTTTTTATAATATTAAAGGCTAGTATTTATAAATTTAGTAATTTTTTAAATCTAAGAATATAATAGATATTAGTAAATATTAAATATTTATTTAAGCTATCTAAAAAAAGGTTAAGGAAGACTTTCTTAGTATATCTCTAAATAGCTAGATCTAAGTAATCTTTTTCGTTATAATTAAAAGAAAGCTAAAAAAACTTTCCTTAGCATCTTTCTAGATAGCTAGATCTAAATAATTTTTGCCATAGGGTGTTTGCCGACTAGACTTAGAGTCCCAACAACGTCGATGCCATGTAAAAATTCGCTGAGGTATAGAGTAGCTAATGCACAATCCTGCCCTTCAATCAGAATTTTAATATCTTCTTCCGTTCGCGTGGAATCGTTAGCCAAAGTTGGCAACTTTTGAGGTTTTCCGGGTGGAAGATTACTTAATCATCCCGCTCGACTTAACGTCTCAAAACTAAGCCTTTTTCGATTAAATTCCTCAACACTAAACTACTTTCAGATTTGTCCTCAACACTAGACCTATTTTGGTTTTATATTCTAATCACCTCTACTTCCTGGCATACTGTACACTGCTTCTTTCAACCGCTATGCTTTGCACATTCTGACACTGGTTTACTTATAAGGGAAGTGTAAGACTTTCGGTCATGTCCGAAAACCTTGCTATTAGTTGCCTGGCTAGGGAAGGTTGTAATAATGCGTTGTTTTAAGATTATCTTCGAGACAGAATAGAAACCGACCTATTCATCCTGTTACCCCTTTTTCTTATTTCAACTTTCGACGACCAAGGCACTTGAAATCTCTCTATCTTATAGCGCCGCCTACTTTCTCTCCCCTCTCTTAGGCTTCGGTTCTAGTGATTCTTCCGTTATTATGTCTCCCCTTAACTCTACTTCCACCCGAAAGCGCGGTCGGCCCCCCAAGTATCAGTCTGCAGAAGAGCGACAGGCCGCGAAGATAACACGACAACGAAATCAGCGACAAGCCGCCCAAGCGGCTAAACGCAACACCTTCTTTGATGAATACTACTCGGCCGGTCCATCTGCAACTGGTGAACGCCCGATCGCTCTTGTTCCTGGCATAGCGGCGTTGTCGGTGACCCATGAACTGGAAGAGTTGCTCCCGCCGTTAAGCCCCGATCCAGCTCCTCTTGAGCTCGAAGATAGCTCTATCCTAATTGACGAGCCGCCTCTAGAGCTCAACAGTCTCGAACCTGCCGCTAGTCCTACCCCTAACCTTCCCGAACAGTCCCGACCGACGCACAGTGAGCACCTCGAGGGTGATCTATCAAATTTAGAAACCGGAAGCCCTGCCCCAGCGGCTGCCGAGGATGGCGAGGATGTTTGCACGCTGGCACGCGTGCTGGCCGACCAGCTATATCAGCATCACGGCTGTTGTCGGGAGTGCCATGAGCAGGCCTGCGCGGCGCACCAAGAGACGCATTCGGTTCATACCGGGCTGGGGGAGTATGTGGACCAGATTAATATCGCTGGCGATTTCCCGGATGTGCTGGGCTCGGCTACAATCGCGGCCCGCGAGTCCAATCTCGCCCAGCAAGTCACCAAGGCACGAAAACAACAGATCTACTGCGGCATCGATCCTCACAAGCCCGATGAATCCCCAACGCATCTCTGCGTGGCAGCCGACCATCGTCCCGATCCTTCCTTGGGCGTGACTGTTGATATCGATAGCGTGGGTGGGTTTGTCAGTAGTCTGGCGGTAGCTCGTCGGGGGATCCGATGGCATCCTACGCAGATGGCGGTGTCCGACCTCCAGTCCAGCCTGCATATAGATCCGGTTTCAGTCCAGTATTTCGACTCAACCGGGCAGGCCCACCATGTTCGCCGGCCGGTCCATCAAGTGCCGCACTATACCTTTGGTCGTCTAATTGGATTCGAAGATATCTCTCTGTATCTGCTCTTTCCCCGACTGTACCGGGAAGATCAGCAATCCAGCCGTCTGCTAGACCAGGATTTCCAGCAATGGACGGACGAAATCCTCCTCCCAATCATCAATCGGTGTTATTCCGGCGACCTAATCCAGCACTACCCCTCTAGCTTTAACCATAGCCGGCTGAACGCAACCGCCCGGGGAGTAGAAATGCGGTCCCAGCGAGTGGATCCCATCCCCCGCGAGCAGCTCCTTGCCTACTTTCTTCCTCCCGAGGCGCTTCCCACGATCTGGGAACAGATTCTAGAGGCGACCCACCGCCCCGGATTCCACCAGTTTCAGGATCTTAAGATTCTAATCGAGGGGAAAAACCTAAAGACCTTGACTAAGGCAGACACATTGGCCGATCTCATGACGGGCTTTCAACAACACTGGCAGAATGCTGTTAACGAGGACGTTCTTGCCGAGCCGTTCTTCTACGATCTCGGTAAGGAAACCTGCCCAACCACGGCGAGCGAGCAAGAGAGGCCGCCGCAATCTTTACTCTGGCGGCGTTGTTGCCTGAACGCGTATAGCCAGTGGATCCATAGCAAGCAGCCAGCGGACGCGCCCCATGCTCTGCAGCACTTCTACCAATTCAGTATGCTAGAAGACACCGGCAGCCTGACGTTAGAGACCCGGCG